CTCCCCTCTCTCCCTCTCTCCCCCCCTCCCCTCTCTCTCCCCCCCTCTCTCTCTCTCTCCCCCTCCTCTCTCTCTCTCTCCCCTCTCTCTCTCCCCCCCTCTCTCTCTCTCTCCCCCCTCTCTCTCTCTCTCCCCCTCCCTCTCTCCCCCCCTCTCTCTCTCTCCTCCCCCCTCTCTCTCTCTCTCCCCCCCTCTCTCTCTCTCTCTCTCCCTCCTCTCTCTCTCTCCCCCTCTCTCTCTCTCTCTCCCCCTCTCTCTCTCCCCTCTCTCTCCTCCCCTCCCTCTCCTCTCTCCCCCCCTCTCTCTCTCCTCCCCCTCTCTCTCTCTCTCCCCCCTCTCTCTCTCTCTCCCCCTCTCTCTCTCCCCCTCCCTCTCTCTCCCTCCCTCCCTCTCTCAACCACATTTCAATACCGGCATTTATGTTGCTCGTAACTGGCAATTAATAACGTTCTCATAATGCAATTTACGCACATTACTAAGTATATTTTCACTTAGAATTGAAAATATACTTAGAAGTGAAAATATAGTTATGCGGAAGTAAATGGACAAGTATACAGGAAGCAATGTAAAAGGTTGCCATGGTGTGTGTGTGTGTGTGTGTGTGTGTGTGTGTGTGTGTGTGTGTGTGTGTGTGTGTGTTTGTGTGTGTGTGTGGACACGTGTATAAAAATCATATACCATGGCGAGGTAGGAGGTTGACAGACAGTGGTATAACATGGCAAGTCATAACTGTTACATGCTTGTGTTAGTCATAAGCAGATATAAGCTTAAGCGTTTTCTTAAAGTTAAATCTTAATTTATTGGGTATAGAGCAAGCTGGCTACTCGATGGTCATTAAGGCTTCTTGTCAAGTGTACTCCGCCAGTCATCTATACAATAATCTCTAACAGGGATTGAACTGAATTATCGGGGAGATGTACACTGAGATATATACCTCTCAGTGAATATTCTCTAAGACGAGTATATCTCTAGGATGAGTATATCTCTAGGATGAGTATATCTCTAGGATGAGTATATCTCTAGGATGAGTATATCTCTAGGATGAGTATATCTCCAAGACTAGTATATCTCCAAGACGAGTATATCTCCAAGACGAGTATATCTCCAAGACGAGTATATCTCCAAGACGAGTATATCTCCAAGACGAGTATATCTCCAAGACGAGTATATCTCCAAGACGAGTATATCTCCAAGACGAGTATATCTCGTTCTTGTATATACACGAACGACATATACCATCCCGTTGTTTACATTGTGTCTCTTCGTTTAAGTTTGGTTTTATCTACTAACATGTCAACACATGTTCCCTCGAGTGTATAATATTTTGACGGTATTTCCAAGTCTCTTAGACCTAAGTAATGAAAAGCTATCATTTTCATAGTAATTAAAAAAAGACACTCACTAGCATCTGGTACCATATTATAATCATGGGGAGCTCTAAACCCGTAGGATTATACAGCGCATGTGGGGGGGGGGAATGGAAGGTATTCAGGCACAATTCAGGGAACCGGAGCACAGACCTAGTTCCCTAGATCAAGAGCCCCTCACCAGCGTCAAGGAACCTCCCTTTAGGAGTGGTACCATGATAGCAGCAGCTCTTACCATGATACCAGCAATACCTGCCGTCATGAAAGCAGTAGCTGTTAGCATGATACCAGCAGCAGCTGTTACCATGATACCAGCAGCAGCTGTTACCATGATACCAGCAGTAGTTCTAACCAGAGTGCCAGAAGCTGTTTCCAAGGGCTTTGGAGCAGCTGCTACCATGGTACCAGCAATGACTGTTACCATGATACCAGTAGCTGTCACCAATATAGCAACAGCTGTTAATATATCAGAAGCAACTGTTGGCTTCTCCAGCTTCTTGATTTGTCGCAAGAGTAATAAGTCTCTCATGCTGAATACGTCCAGAGAAACACCATTAGTGCTGCCGACTCATAAAGTTGGCTTAAAGCTGGCTGCATGGTGAAAGACGTACTTTACTCTGGGCACGTAATATGTTACGTACTCTACGATGGGCACACGATAGGAACCGTACTCTGCGGTTGTACGTGGCTAATGTTATCTTTTGCTCTGTGAGTACAATCATACCCACGAATGACGCCATGTTAATTAAGATTTCAAACAATGAAAAACAATTACATCGGGGTTAATATAAAACAATCTAAACATTGTTTAATGGATGAATAAAAATGAATTATCTTTTTTTAACATTCGAGCATAAAAATAGGGTAATTCTGTCATGCTATCTCGCTGTATAATTATAAACTGTCTGGCAGAGTTATCATACTGAGCTGTCATACACGCATCTCGTGAAGCTAATGGGATATGTTGGCTACAAATAGTCGATGTTATCTAACTCTCCTGCCATGTTATCATTCTCTGATGTTATAGAGGTCACACAAATAACTTCTCAGTGTTCATCGTGTTGTTCCTCACTGCGTGAACACGAAGATGAACAGCACGTCCACTCTCCCCTGACAAGCAATTTGCTGAGCCCTCCGGAATATTAAACACTTTTACCCTTAACAGAAAGACAAATTGAAACAGTGGTTCCTAACCTCTCTATTGTAAACGATTCCCTTCGTCATTTTAACTAGAAATCTGATATTTTCAATATTCATTTTAAGGCCGATGATTACATACCGCTGCACACATTAATTATTTCTGGTACCTGGAAAATTTTAGCTCTCGCTAAAAGCGACAGCACTCAAGGTATTAACTGTATAAAAACACATACTGTGTGGGTGGTTGCCAGTGCAAACACGTACTGTATGGGTGCTTGTCAGTGCAGACACATACTGTGTGGGTGGTTGTCAGTGCAGACACATACTGTGTGGGTGGTTGTCAGTGCAGACACATACTGTGTGGTGTTGGTTTGTCAGTGCAGACACATACTGTGTGGGTGGTTGTCAGTGCAGACACATACTGTGTGGGTGGTTGTCAGTGCAGACACATACTGTGTGGGTGGTTGTCAGTGCAGACACATACTGTGTGGGTGGTTGTCAGTGCAGACACATACTGTGTGGGTGGTTGTCAGTGCAGACACATACTGTGTGGGTGGTTGTCAGTGCAGACACATACTGTGTGGGTGGTTGTCAGTGCAGACACATACTGTGTGGGTGGTTGTCAGTGCAGACACATACTGTGTGGGTGGTTGTCAGTGCAGACACGTACTGTGTGGGTGGTTGTCAGTATAAACACTGTTGCTGCTGTCGGTGTAAACACATAACATAAACAATGTACAGCTGGTTATCAATATAGGTACAAAAACATGTACACTTTTATCTCACTTCGCCAGGAATAAACAATGAATATACGTATACTAATAATTAAAAAAATCATGAATTCGCGAAACACAAAAACTGAAGCCTTATCATTGGTGTTTCACTAGTGTTTTACTGTTTCACTGGTGTTTCACTGGTGTTTTACTGGTGATTCAGTTGTCTCTCAAAGCACCTCACAGGAGATGAATCACTGGAGTCACACATTAAAAAAATAATGCACGAAAATCTGTGTGTACTCACCTAATTCACCTAATTGTGGTTGCAGGGGTCGAGACTCAGCTCCTGGCCCCGCCTCTTCACTGATCGCTACTGGATCCTCTCTCTCTCTGCTTCCTGAGCTTTGTGTGTGTGTGTGTGTGTGTGTGTGTGTGTGTGTGTTGTGTGTGTGTGTGTGTGTGTGTGTGTGTGTGTGTGTGTGTGTGTGTGTGTGTGTACTCACCTATTTGTACTCACCTATTTGTGGTTGCAGGGGTCGATTCCTAGCTCCTGGCCCCGCCTCTTCACCGGTTGCTACTAGACCCTCTCTCTCCCCGCTCCATGAGCTTTATCAAACCTCGTCTTAAAACTGTGTATGGTTCCTGCCTCCACTACGTCATTTTCTAGGCTATTCCACTGCCTTACAACTCTATGACTGAAGAAATACTTCCTACTATCTCTCTGACTCATTTGTGTCTTCAACTTCCAATTGTGGCCTCTTGTTTCTGTGTCCCCTCCCTGGAACATCCTGTCTTTGTCCACCTTGTCTATTCCACGCAGTATTTTATATGTCGTTATCATGTCTCCCCTGACCCTCCTGTCCTCCAGTGTCGTCAGGCCGATTTCCCTTAATCTTTCTTCATAGGACATTCCCCTTAGCTCTGGAACTAACCTTGTTGCAAACCTTTGTACTTTCTCTAGTTTCTTGACGTGCTTTGTGTGTGTGTGTGTGTGTGTGTGTGTGTGTGTAGGGAAGGGGATACGATCCACCATTTAAATGAATATTTGAGAAATATAACTAGAATTGTAATGAAAAAAGGTCCTTCTATTTATATAACGCTCGAGGCATCAGAACTTCAATCAAACTCTGACTCGCGGGAAAAAAATTATTTTGTTACGTCCGAAAGGGCGGCAGAGAAATCAATTTGTTTACGTCGCTTAATTTCCGCCAATTAAAGGCATTTGCGGAATTTTTATGGTTCACTGATTTAAAAGAATTTAGTTGTATACTTATATAAAAGGAGGAATAATTCCAAGCTTTTGTTGACTGTTTACACTGAATATAAAGCGAGTAAAACAACTTATATTTGAATATATTGTTGATGTTTGTGGTTCACCTGTGGATGGTTCAGGTGTTGACGACCTGATCAATCAGGCTGTGTGGGTATGCAACGCAATGATGCACTCGTCGTGAATGAGGGTACAATCATTAAAGTAAATGCAACCGAGAAATTCATTAGACCGAGAGCAACTCCACATTGTTTGCAATCGTAATGACACAATTGCAAACAAACCATACCACGGGCGGGGATTGAACTCGTGGCCTGGAGTTTTACGACTCGCCACGGGTTTAATCCCCGCCCCTGGTATGGTTTCTAAGTATATTTCCTGAGTATAACAATACCAATGTAGTATCATGAAATGTCACACTGTGAATGTACCACTGTAACAATATAAACGTAGCACTGACTATAACACCACTACAGTTCCTCAGTGGAGCAGAGATCATGTACTCACCCACTGACGGTGGGACGAGAGTTCCGGGATCTCCACAGTGCCTCCCAGATATTGCTAAATCCACGTGGAAGTGTTTACAGTAAAGACATGACGAGCAATCAGTTACATTTACAGCATCCTGGTGTCTTTGAAGACCTGCCATTAACCTCTGGATCAAGCCAGCAAAGCCACTGGCTGGCTTAACATCTTCAGATCACTGTACCCAGATGATACACAACACGGAACGGGGGAAGGGTTGAACCCATGGAAAGTGAATCCTGAGATTCACAGGCCAACTAACCAAGTGCTTAATGAATCTCGTGTAGTCGCTAGGCTTCAAACCTTGACGGTCCAACCGCTCGTTTCGCCAATACGAGGTTTCTACAGCTAGAGAACGTTTCTCCTTCAGTGACTACCCTTAATAAATATAAATGTTGATGGATTATTAATACCGTAGACTGGTCCAGAAATTTATTTGGGAATAATGATCAGCTGACTAAAACATTTATGTTGGTTTATAAACGTAAGAATCTGACGTTTTATATATGTAAGATCATAAAGTTTATTTTTTACTTTCACTCAAACGAAATTTTAGTTAAGATCTAACTTTGATTTTTGTGTTCATTGAGCATCTGAATTTGATTTTTTTTTTTTTTTGAGAGATAGAATTTTTTATTATTTACGTCTATGACAAGAGACTTTTTTTTAACCTTGATTGTAAACATTTGATGCGAGTCAATTCTAAATTTTTTAAAATCTTTTAATATTAACTGTTTTGATCCTGATTTCAACGCTTTTTACATGATTCGAACGGTTTTTTGAAAATCTAATTCTAATGATATTTTTTGAGTGACTTATTCAAACGGTTTTTAATCGACCAATTGTAATCCTTTTGAGCCTTCGAATCTAACCATAATTCACATTTCCGGTTCGAACCTCCGATCTCCAGAGACTCACATTACCTATATTTTTTTATACATTAACATTTTTTTGAAAAAGGGGAAGGGATTAAAAGTGTAATTTTAATTTTCAGTTTCCCTGCCTTTGTTTTTTTCCTCAGGATCTGTAGAGAATGATCACTGGAAGACGAGGTGTGAGCGAACAGCGAACAGTGAACACCTTAGGTGAATGTCTTACTCTCTCTGACCGAACACTTCTGGTGATAAATGGTCGTTGGTGTGTGTGTGTGTGTGTGTGTGTGTACTCACCTAGTTCTACTCACCTAGTTGAGGTTGCAAGGGTCGATTCAAAGCTCCTGGCCCCGCCTCTTCACTGGTTGCTACTGGGTCCTCTCTCTCTCTGCTCCATACGTGTGTGTGTGTGTGTGTCTTGGGTATTCTTAGCGACCATCCAGCAATAAATGGTCGCCAGAAGGCGGTCTCTGAGCGAATACTCTCTCTCTCTCTCTCTCTCTCTCTCTCTCTCTCTCTCTCTCTCTCTCTCTCTCTCTCTCTCTCTCTCTCTCTCTCTCTCTCTCTCTCTCTCTCTCTCTCTCTCTCGCTCTCTTTCTCTCTCTCTCTGAGTGACCACATCTGGCGACAAACAGTCGCTGGAAGATCTTTGAGCGAACACTTCTGGCGAACATTTGCTGTTTTTGGTTCGTGGTCTGACTGCAAACTCTCCTGGAAACAGATATCCAGGAAAACGTTAGGCAAAAAACAAAGTTTCTATTACGAAACATTCACAGTTGTGGTAACACATCTGGCACGAATGTTCAACGAGGGAGGAAAAATAGTTTAGAAGCCTGTATCATACTTCTCAACAGATGTTTACTGTCTCTTTCGGATTGGCTGATGGCCTAGGAATCTCGGTGCTGATTGGCTGATGCTGTAAGGATCTTCTTGATGATTGGGCACTGGCTTCTTAGTACCGATGGGTTAACAGTGGAGGAATGTTGGTGATGATTGGCTGGTGGGGGTAGTTAATTTGGTGCTGATTGACTGAGGGAAGCAGGCATCTTATTACTGATTGAGTTACAGGAATCGATCCCTGGTCCCTTCAGTTGTGAGAGTCGGCAATTCGAGCAGACGCTACTCTTAAATTATCTTTCGGGAATGTAGACAATTAATACGTCATTTTACTGAGGCCACGTTTCCCTCTCCAGAAGCTTTGTCAAGCGGTTACAGATTGTCGGTTATTCTATCAATAATACCCATGGCTCAAACAGTTTACAACGAACCAATGATTCTAAAGTTTAAGACGATGTTTTGACCTGTCCTGAACCATTATAAATACGCAAAGTGTTTGGTATTGATCCAAGATGAAGCGAAACATCGTCATGACTTACTTCTTCAAGCTGTACGTTAGTTGTCAACTGATCTTTGTTCTTACGTGAATTTACCGCGAGCTTTCGTTAGTAAGATTAATGATCTTTCTGCCTTCAACCTCCACTGTCAAGGAAATTGCATTAACCTCCGTTTTCTTCCATCAGTTCCGTTTGCAACGGCTGGTTAAGTAGCCTGTGAGTGATCCAACAGTTATGTACCCTCTTCCGTTGTTCACTTTCCCGTTGTTTAGCTTTCCGTTGCTCATCTACCCGTTTCTCACGTTCCTGTTATTCACCCTCATGTTCTTAGCCCCTAAGTTTTCTTCAAATTCAAGTCATTCACCTTCCCATTACTTGCTTTCCTTTTGTTCACTTTCCCATTGTTTACCTTCCTTTCGTTCACCTTCCCTTTGTTTACCTTCCCTTCTTCCACCTTCTATATTCTCGGATTCTTCTTCGGTTTACGTCGAGGCGTAAATCACTCCCCTTGTTTACAGAGGTCAGTACCTTTGTATGTGTAACACCCCATACTCCGCACCTTTCTTCTCAACAACCCAGCTGTGTGCCGTGGTTCGTGAAGTTTAAAACCTATCGACTACACCAGGGTTATAAAGTCTGTACGTCGCCTTCACACCACCAGACAAAAATACTTTAATCATTAAATTAAGGATTAAATTAAACTCTGAGAATATACAGACCGAGAGAATTATACATCTCTTTGTGTATCGTCTCTGTTTACCTGTCAGTTACTTTACTGTGGACCTGTCAACCACTCTACCGTGTATCGTCTGTCTACCAGACATGCACCACTAAAGTGTACCTCACAAAATGTGATATTCCCGATAGATTTTTTTTTTTTGGGGGGGAGGGAATTTAATTACAGTTACCCATTAAATTTCATGAAAAAAAAATTGTTTAATAACGGAGAAGCGAATAATCATCGGTTGAATTGTTTGTACCACAGGTCGTATTTATATGGTCGTCCCCTGGTCGTATTTATATGGTCGTCCCCAAAGTCGTGATCACATTGTCGTCCCCAGATCGTGATGTTTACATGGTCGTTCCCAGGTCATAGCATACAAATAGTCTTCAGTGGACACTGTTATTTGACGCACGGAAGCAAGGTAAACCCGTATGGGTCAACGCTATAATTTTATTATTATTACAGACTGAATTTGCAAAAAATGTAATTCTGTGAAACCAAGAGCGAATAAAAATAATCATAATAATAATAATAATAATAATAATAATAATAATTATCATTATTATTATTATAACAATATTTCACCTTTCGTTCTTTCGTGTTTGTGTTTGTCTTTTTTTTTGTGTTCTGTTGCAGTCTGTGTCAGTGGCTGAATATACTGTTTTGTGTTCTGTTGTGTTCTGTTGCTGTCTGTGTCCGTGTCTAAATGTACCGTTTCGTGTCTTGTTGCTTTCTGTTTCACACACTGTTGTTTATGTCGTTCCTGTTTTTTTTTTTTTTTTGGTAATCTGCTCGGAATTGTTTTGTATCCTCATGTATTATAGGTTTATATTCATGTATTCTAGATTTATATAAATGTTTTCAAAATTTATATTAATGCATTCTAAATTTATTTTAATGTATACTAGATTTGTATTCATGTATTCAAGATTTGTATTCATGTATTTTAGGTTTATATTAATGCATTGTAGGTTTATATATATTCTAGATTTATATATATCCTGTATACATGACTAACATTCATTCAATCGTTCTATATATTTTTATAGTGACTAATAAAAAAAGTATCCTCGTATCTCTCCATGTTTGTTCCCCTCGTTTTTTTTCGACTTAATTTACTCTAACGTTGTCGTAAGTCTTCCTGCCTTAAAATAAATATATTTATTTTTTTTCTGGGAAATTATTGCACTTAACGAGCATAATATAATTTCATTTTTTTCGTTCTGTGATTAATTTTTCTTTCGTGTGGGTCGGAGGCTCATTAAGCCTAAACTGGATTTGTAACTAATATATTTTTAAGGTAATTCAGAGAGTGTTTATGCAAGGAGGACGTTTCTTTCACGACGTTTCGCCCAGAAATGTTGTATAATTATTTTTTTTCTAGGTGTGAATGTGTTTTTGAGTTTAAATTGTATATATATGTTTATTTCGTAAGATGTTATGGGTGACTACGACGCCTTGCTCAGGACATCAGGTCTCCAGGTCATTGCCAGGTCTTGGGATCCTCTGGGGTCTTCTCAGGTAACTTTCAAGTCACTCTCAGATTCCCCGGGTTCTTCCCAGGTCAGTCTCGGGTTTCCCATTTTTCCTAAGTCTTTGCAGGTCATTCTGAGGAAATTCTCAGAATGATCAACTCTTCCCAGGTCTTCGTCAGGTCATTCTGGGGAAATTCTCAGAATGACCTGTTTTTCCCAGGTCCTCGTCAAGTCATTCTGAGGGTATTGTCAGGTCTTCTTCGCTTTCCACGTCGTTCTGGCAACTTCAGTTCATTCTCAAGTCTTTTTCCGGATTTTCCTGGGACTCATTTCTTACACAGGGTTTGACAAGGTTAGGTTAAGGATCCCTACCTTTATTGACAAGCTATTTACAAGTTAAAGGTTCCTAACTTTATTGATCAGCTAAGAACAGTTACTTACATCAGCTCATTTGAAAGCATTTTTATTGTTATGAAACATACAAGTAGGGAACAGGATGAAGTTGGAGCCATCTGTGGGCAAATTTTCTCTCTCTCTGTCTCTCTTTCTCTCTCTCTCTCTCTCTCTCTCTCTCTCTCTCTCTCTCTCTCTCTCTCTCTCTCTCTCTCTCTCTCTCTCTCTCTCTCTCTCTCTCTCTCCAACCGTGAAGCACAATAATATTCTTTGACCTCCGGACACTAGATAATCTCTCCCTCTGATGTGCATAAACAACTTCAAACAATTAGTAACAATAAAGAGGAGTTATGAATATATAAAGAGTCGTATATTCCTGGCATCCCCCCCCCCAAAAAAAATGTATCCTTCGCGTGCTTTAAACCATGACTCGAGGTATTAATTGATGCCCTTGTCAGGACATCAGCGTCATCT